AGAGCATGACCTGACCCAACATAATTAAATATTAAACACCTGCACCAACAGCGAACTCGCAACTACTAGCAGTACTACACCAAGATACTTGCACAATGTCATAAAGGACATCATTCCAGCAGAAGGGTGAGAAATATTGTCATAATAATCAATGCATACAATTATATATATATATATATATATATATATATATATATATATATATATATATATATATATATATATATATATATATATATATATATATATATATATATATATATATATATATATATATATATATATATATATATATATATATATATATATATATATATATATATATATATATATATATATATATATATATATATACACACACACACACACACAATTATAGAATACATATAACCCACATTTTCTCACCACAATTCATTTCCATTATCAGATGTATCACAACGTGCATATAAACAAACATAGACATTCATCAAGCATTTTCATCATGCATACATCCATAAATCTCAACATCCTACATAAACATACACATGTTATGTTTTATCCACCAATTCATTATTACACATTCACATTTCTCAATTACACAAGTAATGCACATACACATATTCCACAATTCTCACCATACTTCATGATAACTCATCATATACTTTACAAAACATACTTATATAAACAAATATGGACAATCATCAAGCATATTCATCATGCACATATCCATAGTCCTCATCAATCCACATAACATACACATAAGCAGTTTTGCATACAACAATCTTATATTCACACTCTCAAATCAACAAGTCATGCACACCCGCATGCTTCATACAACAATCACAAATATGCCATGTGACTCAATGCAACTCATGCCATGTGGTACCAACACTTGTTATCATTTTTCGGTTTTTACATTTAAACCGGGTCCACCCTTCTAGACCGATAACAATAAACTCGTCCCCTAAACTTTCAAACCCACCCTTCTAGGTTTGGGATAAGCCATTAGTCTCCACGAAACTAGCAAACATTGCCTCTTGACTAAATGATGCATATGCAATCAACCAACAAAAATGCACTTAAGACCGTTCCCGCATCTTAATCCCATGCATTCAAATAATTCATCCCTTCAAGAATTACAACGTGATTGCACACACAACATATCACAACAATCATCAATGCATTCATTTATCAATAACATTATCACATCATCAAACAATGCACACATATCCAAAATATGTTCCCATGCATTTCTCACAATTATTAAACAATGCACACATATCCACGATATGTTCTCATGCATTCTCAAGTAATTCATCATACAAGAATTACATCATGCTTACACGCATAACACATTTACCACGCAATGCACATATATTCACAATATATTCTCATGCATTGTTCACATATAATCACATCCAATCAATATACATTCACAATATCGTGCCAAACGGCGACGAATTCATCACAATAATCATGCATTTTAAACATGTTAAAATAATGCATACAAAAATTTGTCAAAATAATGCAAATTCATATTTGATCCTATCATCTAGGATTCACGCCCAAAGGCTACCCACAACTAATCACAATAATACACAAACTATTCATATCACATAGGATTAACATAATTGAACCAAGCAATTAATCATTGGATGGATAAAACAGAAAAGAAACAATGATGTCCTGCTCGCCACCCTTCGCCTGGCGAAGCCATTGGCGAATGCTCGCAGGGACCTTCGCCTGGCGGACTCGCCAGCGAACAAAAGTCAGTAGCTACTGACTTGATTCGCTACCCTTCGCTGATGTACTTGCCTGGCGAACCTTCGCCACCCACCTTCGCCTGGAGAACTTGCCAGCGAAGACCACTGGGAGTTTCCTTGAATTATTCGCCAGCTATTCGCTGGGCTTCGCCCGGCGAAGCTTCGCCTTCACTCACCTGGCGAGAGCCAGCGAATCTGCGATATCAGAACCCTCATTCTGTCCCAAAACTTCTACCCTTAAAAGATCGACCGATTCTCACCAAATCAGTTTCAGTAATCTTAACCCCACATCACCCGACTATTCTACGACATTATTTCCAGTTTCTAACCGATTAAACTACGATTCTACCGATTAAATCCATTTTGCCCTAAACGGAAAAATGGTGGAAATTCACAACAAACCAAACCCACACATACATAATCATACACATGGATTAAATAATAATGTTTCTCACCCTTACCTTGGTTTAATCGAAGTTTGAAGCAGATCCTTGAGCTTTCCAAGCTTTTCCCTCTTCTCTTCTCTTTTCTCCTCTTTCTTTCTTTCTCTTCTCTTCCTCTTTCTTTCCCTTATGTTTTCTTTTCCATCTAGTTTCCTTTATATACTTCCCATTTGATTTTTCTTTCTATTATATTTCCTTTCTCATAATATCTACCAAATCCTTTCTCACGAAATATCTCATCTTGACATTAATTAGAAAATATCTGGTAAATCCACATTATTCTACCAAATATAATAAACCAGTTAAATCCATTAACTCATATAATTTAAATAAATCCAATGATTCCTTTAAATCAAATAAACCACTTAAACTAATTAATTAGTACCAATAATTAATTACTGAAAATTGGGCTGTTACATGAAACATATTATGGAATGGTTGAAGATTGAAGAGTATGCAACAAATTATGGAATGGTTGAAGATTGAAGAATATGCAACAAATTATGGAATGGTTGAAGATTTCATAAATGAAACCGTAAATCTAAAACATGATATACCTTTTAATTTTTAAGTTCTTCGCAAGGAAAATACACGACTATGGAATGATTGAAGATCGAAGAGAACAAACAAGAGAAATGAAAAACAAAGAAGAAGTTGAATGCATATGATTAGCTATGCAAAATGATATGGTTTAGGGTGAATAATGTTGGTTTCCCAAAGATTTGCATAGAAAATAATGAAATTGAAAATAATTGTATTGATAACTAAAACGATGCATCTTGGTGACCCAATGGAAATCTTGTCTTGTTTCTTATTTAGAATGTAAAGAGTTACACAATAACACTTATAATTTTGTAAAAGCCACAAATAATTGATATGTGTGTAAAAAGTTACATAGTAATAAAAATGGTAATAATTTTTAATAAGAATGATTGAAAATCCAAAATGATAATTAAGGACATGAATAACCTTGTTTAATTAGTTTTCATTTGTGTTATGAATAGGGGTGGAAATATGTCAGACCGATAACAGGGGCCTACGGGTCTAGCCTACACAAGCTCAGGTCAGATCAAACATTTTTTTAAATAGAATATGCCTAGGCTTTTTTATAAGTCTATTTAGTTAAAAATGCTAGGCATCAAACCATGAAAAAACCTATTTAAATAAATATGAATAATTTTTTTTTATCATTATGTTATGTTTTGTACTTTGAATTAAAATATATAAATAAAAAATTGTTATCTTGGAGAGCTTATAAAAATAAGATGAAAATACTAGGGGTGACAAAATGGATGGATTGGATCGTTAATGGATGGATTAAAACAATTCATTAGTCAATTACAATCCACTAAAACTTTCTTAAAATTATCCAATCTAATCCATCCATTAAAAATAAAATCCATCTAATTCATCCACCTAACTTTTTTTTATAAAAATAAATATATTTTTTTATTTTTAAAAATCGATTTTATTTTATTTTTGAAAAATTATTTTTTTGTATTAAATTTTTTTTTTTAAAAATATATTCATGAAAAAAATTGAATTTTTTGTATTTTCAAGAAAAAAATTGATATTTTAATTTTTGAAAAATATCGATTTTTTTCCAAAAAAAAAAAGTTGATTTTTTTTAAAAAAATTCGATGTTTTTTTGAAAAACAAATCAGTTTTTTATTTTGGAAAAAAAATCGATTTTTTTTTAAAAAAATTACAGTTTTTTATTGAAAAAATTAATTATTTTCTTTTAAAAAATCTTTTTTAATTATTTTTTAAAAAATAAATCTAACAAAAATAAAAATAATCCATGGATCCTTAAAATATGTTGGATGAATTGAATCCATCCATGAATATAAATGGATGGATTTAATCCAATCCATAAACTTATTTTTTATGTGGGGATGAATTGGATGAATTTTGCTTTAATGGATCAAATTGACACCTCTAGAAAATACCTTATAGACAATATTATAAGTTATCTTAAACAAATAATCTCACAAAACTTATATTAATAGGTAAGTTAAAATAAGTCAATGCAAACAAATTTTTAGTCTCATTGATTTTTTAGTTTGTTAGTCTATTTAAAATAACATACTTTTATGTAGTATAACAAACTAACCAGACCTTAGAAAGTGACATACTCAGACCTAAAAATAAGTCTATGACAGGTTATCAGGTTACTGACCAGACTTAAGCTTTATTTTTTTTGACAGGTCAGACTTATGCTTACAAAGCCTAACTAAGCCCAGCCTATTTCATCCATAGTTATCACATCATTTTAGCCTATTCCACCCATAGTTATCACATCATTTTGGTCGTATTTAATTTTTATATATTAATAGTAGACTTTTTATTAAAAAAATCTCAACCTAATGATTTTTCGTTGGTCCTGTTGCCCCGAATATTTCATTGTGTTCTCATTTTTTATTTTAAAAAAATTTAAATCATCAATTATATCTAATAAAATATTTTATATTGTTAAGGTAAGAGATTTATCTAAACTATCATCCTAGATTCAACATAAAAATCACATATTTTAAAAAAAAATCTATTATGAAAATTTATTCAAAATATTTTTTTTACTAAAAAAAAATACCCCAAATTCTTTTTATAAAAATATTATATTTTATCCTTTTTTTTTAAATTTATTATCAAGCTAATGAGACTCTCACTTACCCGGCGACCCCACTGCTTGGACGTGATCTAACCCTAACTCGTCAACTCAACATAACTCGGTAAATTGGAGTTCCAGATCGAAAACAAAGAAAACGAAAACTGAGAGAGCAACGTCACCAGTAGTGAAACTGAGAGAGAAGGAAACATGGACGCTATACGGAAGCAGCTCGATGTGCTCATGGGAGCCAATCGAAACGGCGACGTCCGTGAAGTTAACCGCAAGTATTACGATCGCGATGTTTGCCGTCTCTACCTCGTCGGTCTTTGCCCTCACGAACTCTTTCAGTTAACGGTAATTCACTTCTCTCTCTTTTTCCATTCTGTTTTTTTTAATTAGCGACGATTACTTAGGTTTTCGTTGTTTTTGTTTGTTTCAGAAAATGGATATGGGTCCTTGCCCTAAAGTTCACTCATTGCAGCTCAGAAAAGAGTATCCTTCACGATCTTGCTATACTTCACTTGAATTGTTGTTCCGTTCGGTTGTGAATGTGATTATTGTGTTTTTGGATAGTTGTATTTGCTTAACTTTGTTTCTAGATATGAGGAAGCCAGAGGCAAAGGGATCGATAATTACGAGAGGGAGTTGGAGGATGTTATTGATAAGCTTATTGGTGAATGTGATAGGAAAATTGGTAGAGCTCTTAAGCGACTTGAGGATGATGATGCCAAAGCGGCAATTGCAATTTCGGTCTCTGAAGTTACTCAGGTGATTCTTGAGTATATGTTGAGTTGTTGTAGGAGTTGATGGTTTCTTGCAGGTTTCAATAATATTTGGTTTGTATGACATGCAGACACCGGAAGTGCTGGAGTTGGCCAAAGAAATCAAAGAGAAGTTGAAAGAAGCTGATAAATATGGTACTGTTATTACTCTCAATTTCAATAATGTGTGAAGTTTCTAGTAAAAAAATAATGTGTAAAGTTTTGTTTAGTCTTTAGTCTTTAATTGTGAAGATGAAAGAATAATAGAATGATAAAAGAGGTGGGTGATACACGACTTTGGAGTCATTAATGTTATATATGCTTTTATTGCTGCAAACCCATAGTTTATTGTCTCAACTGTAGCTTTTCCAATATGATGTGCATGCTTCTATGGATATCATATGAATGAATAATGAAGGGGTCATTAGTGACTTGGAACTGTTGATAGGCATGATCTGTTGTAGGGATTGAATAGATCCTAGTGGAGATGTTGGTAGTAAATCCCTAGATAGGCATGATCTGTTTTAGGGATTGAATAGATCCTAGTGGAGATGTTGGTAGTAACATCCCTAGATAACTTTCTTCAACTCCAGTTATTAGTTTGCAAGATCTTACTAGTAGAAATTGCCGGTCAAATGAAATTGATTAGCTCTGGAGCTGTTTGATATGTAGTTAGATGCTTTTATTCATCACCCAAAATGTCAAACTATCTGGTTTTTGTTTATTCTTTTCACTGGTGTAAAATAATCTACACTTGCAGATCTTGAAGGCTTGTCAGATATGAAGATTAGAGCTTTGGAGATTGTTGAAGAACTTAGAATCAAAAGAGCAGACAAACAGGTCAGTGATCTTCCTTGAACACGAAGATCTGTGGGTGATCCTGGGTGTATTTTTCTTTTGCATTTGTACATCAATAGATTGTGAATTTAGTTATCTGATTCTGATCACTATTGTATGGGAGAATACTGTTACTGACAACTGTTTTGGCTATATATATCAATTTTCAAACAGTCTACGCTTCTTTTAGATGCATTCAACAAAGATAGGGCATCTTTACCTCAACCTCTGCCTAATCCACCACCATTGGCACCCCTTCCTGTAATTACTCCCGACGCTCGAACACAGGAGATGATAAATGAAAAGTTGAAGAAGGCTGAGGATCTTGGTAAGTCAGTGATGCTATCATCCGTAAGATCATATTTAGCTCTGCTTGATATTTACTCTAGTGTTGTTTCATATATATGTGTGTGCGCACACACTCATAATATTTGTGAAGAGATTGATTAACATATAGCCATATTAGTAGACTATGAAGCACAGACATCCCAAATACGACACCGACACCAACACGGCAACACCGGTAATAATTTGAAAAATGAATAAATTAGAGGTGATTACAAGTGTCGGTATAGGTGCCGATGTCCGACACGGGCACATAATTTTTCAGAGTTGTCGGTGCTACATAGTTAGTAGATGATGACTGGCATTGCACAAAATGGTAGTTGTGAGCATAACTAAAAAAGTACAGACACGGCTTTCTTCGGTTGACATAAATGCATACTTTTTCCTCGTCAGCATGTCAAAAAAATAATATATTTTCCCCTAACCAATGTCCGACTGAATATTGCTGAAAGTTTCATTAATTATATTCAGAAAAGTATCGGCTCCATTCAATTGCTTACTATCTACTACTGATTGTATCATTTTCTTCTTCCAGTAAACATAATATGTTTTAACTTATAAGTTTAGTTAATAAAGGAACAACTTTGCCAATTCAAGAAGTCCACCGCCATTATTGTGAATCATATATATTTCCACTAATGCTCCTCAACCTTGTCTCTCCTTTAATATATCCTGCAAACAAATTATATTTAGCAACTCCAAAATGTAAAAAAAATTGCCTTCTTTTAGGAAACCCCTATGCTTTTTTATTTAAATTATATTATTTTGAATGAACAGGTGAGCAAGGATTAATTGATGAGGCACAGAAAGCATTGGAAGAGGCCGAAGCACTTAAGAAGGTCATTCATTTGTTTTATTTTATCATGAACTTGTTTATGAAGGTTATTACAATGTGTCATGGCTCTTAACTCTGAAGATATTCTTTTTATCACAGCTTCCTTCCAGGCAGGAGCCGGCACTGGATTCATCAAAGTATACCGCTGCAGACGTGCGGATTGTGAGTAGACTTTACATAATTCACAACTCTTTCAATTGATAAAAAAACTTTCTGTAATAAGATAGGCCCTAGGCAATTGTGTGGATTTTGAGTTGGCTTACTTGAGATTTTCAACTGTAGTCTGTTTTAGCTATAGCATAACTGTAATGGTTCTTACTACTGTTTTACTCAACAATTCAGACTGATCAGAAGCTACGGGTGTGCGACATCTGTGGAGCATTTCTAAGTGTGTATGACAGGTTAGAACTTATTCTGCACCCGTGCATTTTTTCTTTTGAAGTTTTACTAGGGATTTATAGTGTTAGAATTTGGGGTTTCAACTGCTTCAGCTTTTGACCCGTTAGTAATACCTCCTTGTCACCAGCAGGCTCTTGTGCCAGTTTTACGAGGGATAACTTTTGCAGCTAAAGAATGTGCGTCTTTTATGTTTTTGCTTGTAGATCATGCTATTCCTAGTTAGAAATTTATGGGGAAATCAAGCTGTACATCAATATGTTTTCTTGATACTTCTTTACATTTTGCAGTAACATTTTGATTTATATTATTTACAGTGATCGTCGATTAGCTGATCATTTTGGAGGGAAACTTCATTTAGGGTATATGCAAATTCGTGAGAAGTTGGCAGAACTTCAAGTAAGTAATCTTTCTCGAATTTCTGATCTTGTGTAATTTTATCCTACTTTGGAACTGATTGTAAATATTTCATCTTTGAAATTTTAGAATATGTGGAAATTGTTAGGTTTTACCAGTTAACTGTTAACAGCGTGACTCCTGAATCCTCTCCTCTGTTCATTTTCCGGGCTATTGTTTTTAAATCTTTCTGGAATCATGTATAAAAGGAAACATGTGACTCGTAGAAAGTTTAGTTATTTGATTTCATTATTACATTTGAAAATTATGGTATGATAAATTATTTTTCAGATATTCATCTGGGTTCTAGTTAGTTATTACTAGTTAATGACAAGATGGTCCATCCCATCACAAGAAGTTTGCTACTCCACCTATTTTTTGGCCACCAACATTGGGAGTAATATTCTACTGTCTATTATTTTCAATATTCTTTTTTATGTGCATTGGTAACTCTAAATGCCACTTCTGATTATTTCGAAGTGCTTGACCATTTATAGACAAGCGGAAGAATAAAAAGAAATGACGTTGACTTGTATGACCCTGGTTTGTCTTTCTGGGCATGTGTTCAGTTTATTGTTTGATTTCAAAGCTTTTATAGCAAATACTATGTGAACCTTTGTTTTAATTGGAGATAGGACAGAGCTAATGCTATTTTTTTCTCTGGTTCAGGAAGAAAGAAACAAGAGCCGTAAGACTGATCGTCTTGATGACAGAAGGTAAATTTTATCGCTTCCAAACTTAAAAAAACATATTTGATAGGCAGTTAAGTAGAATTTCATATGTAGTCAACCATTGTTTGCATTTATATGCTCAGATCAAAAGAAAGAAGTAGGGACCGTGACAGGGAGCCGAGTAGGGACCGTGAACGTGGTGAGAGCCATGAGCGAGGGCGAGACAATGATCGCAGGAGCAGGGACCGTGATAGGCACCATGATAGAGACCGTGGCTATGACCGAGATCGGGACAGAGACTCATCCCGCTCATATGATTCAAGAAGTCGCCGGAGGTCACGATCTCGAGAGCGTTCTAGAGATTATGATCGTCATAGGTACAAGCATCCTTGACTAATTATTTTATTATCACTTCACTCTTTTTTTTTTAATTGTGGGTCCTTTTTCTGCGGCACACTGTAAATAACCCACTGTAAACCAGTATGTACTGGATCAAATAGGACTGATACATGCCATTCCAGGATCACGGCTTTTACTAAATTGTCAAACCTAAAGCATTCCTTGTTTTGTGATGTTTAATTTCTTGTCTGTGTTGAAAGTCTAGTTCTTAATCTTTGTTTGATCTTCCAGGCATGGGTTTTATTTTTGACAAAAGGGACCAATTTCTGACTATTTATAACCAAAATCCAAGATTTTATTTTAACCAATACATAGATTATATACATATACTATGTTATGAACTGGTTTTCACACCAATGATAGAAGTTTTATTTCTCTAGAAAACTTTCACTTTTATTGAAAGCCAATTGTTATATTATTATGGCTGCCTCATAGTAACATGTCTTTGCTGTTTTGCCAGGCGTCATGATCGGTATTAGCAGCTGCCATAAGTCTTATGGATGCTACAAGATGTTGGATGGGTGTTGAACCTTGTTTCGGACAAATAATTTTGCATTGCTATGAACAATATCCAAATATGGATGTAATTTGAGCTTAGGTGTTACTAAATCATGGTTTGGTGTTGCTTTGGAGTAGTTAAATCTAATTTGTAATCTGCATACATGGAGCAGTTCTGCAGCCGTGCTTTAAAATATTAGTAGTTTTGTTTTGGCTGTCTATGACTTGTTAAAACAAAACTGTGCATACTTTGTGTTTATGCATCATGCCCTTTTAAGTACTAAGAGTTTAATTTAACTTTGCCGAAGAATTCTGTTATGATAGTGATAATTTGTTGTCAAATTTGTTTCAATTAACATTCCCATGGGGCTTAGGGCAGTGTAAAAAGATCTTACCTACCTCATTTGTAGTTTTTACTCATTTCCTATTAGAAGGTATGTGTGCTACGTTCATTGCAAGGAGTAGGTTCTTTTCTATTAGAAGGTATATGCGCTACGTTCATTGCAGAGGAGTTGGTTGCGCATGAAATTGCAACTTTGGAATTCTTGCAAAGGTGAGTCGCCGTTTATTTAATTTATCCCGACAATATTTGGTCTATTAAGTTGTAGAATGCATTATTTAGATGCATTTTCAAAAATCAACGATATATAGTACTCGCAGCCATTGATATTTCTTTTGAATATTGCATTTTTACATAATCATCTAATATTGCTCTTCAGAACAGTATTTTGTTGACAAAACACTACATATATTTTGTACTTCCCGAGAAATTTATCAACTTCTAAAGTAGCTAGATTGTAGATTTGTCATCTGCCAAGTAATTTCAAACACATTGTTGTTTGTTTTGCAGTTAAAATCTCTTTTATATATTGTTGGGAACCAGAAAATGAAATAGGAGAAACAGAAGGAATAAAATAGTTAAAAAGGAAACAATGAGCTTTATTATGTCAATAATGGAGAATTATTGACTGAGAGGAAATAATCCTTAGATTCTGAAGCAGAGTTGAAGCTCCTATAGGCAAGCTACTGCTGCCTATTCATTCTTACAGCTAACAAAATCTAAGGTACCGTCTCAATATCACTCACATTTCTTATATTCTCGCAAAGTAGATACTAGCTCATTTCTTTCTCCCCCACGTGTCTAGTACATACATCCTTTTGTGACCCTCTTACCCCTTCTAGAATATACCTTCCATTCTCTAGGTCCCACCTCATGATTAGTTAATGATGTATTGAGCCCCACTTCTCCTCTTGACCCACTAGATCCCACATCAGTCTTAACAACACCCCCTCTTGAAATTACTGCCTTGTCCTCAAGGCTAAAATTTGGGAACTGACTTGTCAGCATCACTACATCTTCCCATGTGCCCTCTTCCCTGTTTCGTCCTTTCCATTGTACTTAGACCTGCCTCACCTCCTCTCCCTGTACTTGAGCAGTTCTGTGTGCTAAGATTGTGTCAGGTTTATAATTGTTGTCCTTATCACCTTCCAAATCATTGGGCAAGGACTCCTCAGCATGGTATAACCCAACAACTTTCTTCAACAATGACACATGAAACACTGGATGCACGCAGGAATCTTCTGGCAGCTTTAGTTTATAGGCCACTGCTCCTATGCGCTCCACCACTGAGTAAGGACCAAAGTATTTTGCTGCCAGCTTAGCATTAGTACGTGATACCACTGATTTCTGTCTATAAGCTCTTAGTTTGACAAGCACCCATTCTCCTATGGAAAAGCTCCTGTCACATCTTTTCTTGTCAGCAAAATATTTCATTCTATCTTGGGCTCTTAATAAGTGAGCTCTTAGTTGTCTGATAGCTTCATCCCTATCTAATAACTCATTTTGTACTGCCTCCACTCTAACTTCTCCTTGGATCCATCGGACAATGGTTGGAGGGGTCCTACCATAAACTATCTCAAAGAGAGTTTTTTTTCTGTTGAAGCATGGTAAGTGGTGTTGAACCAATATTCTGCCCAAGGAATCCCGTACATCCATGTTTTTGGCTGGTCAGCTATGAAGTGTAACACTCCCCTTTCTATACCCCCAAATAATCACATAATCAATTAGTCACATATTAAATTTTTTATTAGAGTATAATTATAAACATAGTATAAAAGAGGCACGTCACATTACGCTTGAAATTAAAATATACAACACCTGCTCAACAAAAGATATGCAACAATGGGGTAACTTTACAACAGAGGAACTTAGTTCTTACACCCACATCTCAAATGTTAGAATAAAATCATAAAATCTAAACATTGATAACATCACACACACACACACACACACACACACACACACACACACATATATATATATATATATATATATATATATATCATCCAGTATGATTCAACAACAAAGTCAGGTTTACATAAACATTCAAAAACAAGATACATATACAAATAACAAAAGAATCATGAACATCCTAACTACCCGGTGCTGCATATCAGAGTCGACCGACCAAAAGAATGAAGACACGCTTCACAAAAAGACCTCCAACATACATACTCTGCAATGTCTCATAAAGCATCATAAAGCAGCAGAAAGGTGAGAAATATTATCATAATAACAATGCATATAATTATATATCTTAGCATAATATAAATACACATATTCTGCATTCTCACCACAATCCATCACAATATATATATATATATATATATATATATATATATATATATATATAGTTGCATACTTTCACAATTCTTATCATTTCACATAAACATACACATTTATGTTTATTCACCAATGCACAATTATAAAGATGATAAATGCAAATCATAGAGACCGACTCACGACTCTATGCAAATGCAATGCGGTACCGACTCACGACTCTATGCAAATGCAATGCGGTACCGACTCAATCATCTCAAGTTCACTCAGGAACTTATTGAAACCATCGCTCGTTACCAATGTAACTCCCCGTCGGGCCTACGATGTTCACTCATTGCTCACACCTCACATAGACACACAATGTTTATGGATTGCTCACACCTCACATAAGCACATAATTCGATTGCTCACACCTCACATAGGCACACAATCGTTTGTAATCATCGCTCACACCTCACATAGGCACACGACGTTACAACGAATTCTCATTAGAATCACACAACACAAGAATGTACATCATTATGCTTCACATACAAAATGACTCAAGACACTCTTGAAATGCATACATATTTACAATATATTCATGCATTCATCTCATTCTATCACATACAATCTATACATTCACATCAATTACGTCAAACGGCAACGAACATCGCTTTACCACCTAAACAACAACGAACTCTATCACAATCATCATGCATTTACATTAAATTTAAACAATGCTTTTATTTGCCAAAAGGCCACAATTCACAATAAATTACACAATCTAGGATTCACGTCATACGACTACCCACAACATATCATACAACAACACACAAGCTACACATTTCGGGAGAAGGTTGATCAACATCCGAGTCGAAGAATCGATATTGGATGGGAATAGAAAAAATGTTGTGCTGACATGCTCGCTAGGCGAGCATAATGGTTCGCCTAGCGAGTCCTTCGCTGCTCCACTAGCTCCAGCGAGTTTTGGTCTTTTTGATTCTGTCCAAGTATGGGAGTGTTCGCTGGCAGCTCGCTGTGTGCTCGCCTAGCGAACACTTCGCTACCTCACTCGCCAGTGATTCGCCTAGCGAACACTTCGCTACTCAAACTCTCAATTATCCAAAAATATCAAAAAGTCACGAAATCACCTGAATTCAATCAAACAAGTTTCAATAGTCTCGGCCTAACATTCCTCGACTAAACTACGCAATTTATTTCGAATTTTAACCGTGAAAACATCGGTTTCTATCGATTTTACCAATTCGACCTAAAATGGAAATATGTGAAAAAACAACCAAAACAATCCAAACAAACACATACATAATGATATATATTGATGAGATAATAAGATTTTACACCCTTACCCGATTAAATCGATTCCTAGAAGTTGTTTTGAAGACTTCCAAGCTTTTTTCTCTTTTTCTTCTCTTTTCTCTTCTTCCTCTTTCTTTCTCTCCCTTTTCTTCTTTCTTTCTCTTTTCTCTCCTCTTTCTCTCTTATATCTTTCTATTCTAATTCTTTTCTATTACTTTTTCTCTCAAAATATCTAACTTAACATTAATTAAGAAATATCTAAAATACCATCCAACCTAATTTCCCCGAAAACTCTCAAAAACGATAAAATAACACAATATGCAAACATAACATATTAACACACCAATTCCACAAATAATAATCACCCAAATAAAATAAAAGACTCAACAAAAATGGGAAATCAGAATCGGGGCGTTACATGAAGCACCTTAGGTAAGTCTCCAGACACTTGTTAACCACTTCGGTCTGACCATCAGATTCAGGATGGTAGGCACTACTCATCTTAAGCTTGGTCCCCTGTAATTTAAACATTTCCCTCCAGAAGTTACTCATGAAGATGTGGTTTCTATCACTCACAATTGATAGTGGAACACCATGAAGCCTAACAATTTCTCTTACAAATACCTCTGCTATTGTTCTAGCGGTGTATGGGTGTTTCAGAGCAATGAAATGACAGTACTTTGATAATCGATCCACTACCACTAAAATGGCTTCAAAACCCCTTTGATTTGGGCAATCATGTGATGAAGGCCATGGAAATGTCTTTCCAGATTCTGTCAGGTATAGGGAGAGGTTGCAGCAACCCTCCCGACGCACTGGCTAAGTATTTCTGGCGTTGGCAGATATCACAACTTCTCACAAACTCTTGTATACTATTCTTCATGCCCACCCAATATACATTTGCAGCCAATCTTCGGTAGGTTCTATAAAATCTAGAATGCCCTCCTTGAGAGGTGTCATGGAATTCCTTCAACAGAGTAGGAATTAACACTGATTTACTTGAGATCACTAACCTTCCTTCGTATAACAACACCCCTTGTTTGATGACAAAACATGACCTAA